TTTTTTTTTTTTTTTTTTACTTTTTCGGAGAGCCAAAGGCCACTCATTTTTTTTAGATAAATTTCCTTCTAGTATAAGGCTTCTTGTATTATTATTTTAGTTGTTATTAGTTATGTATTTTCAAAAATAACTTTTTTCAAAGTGAATGGTTTACTTTATATATATAAATAAAATAAAATAACTTTAATTAAAAGTGCATGGAAAGTTTCAACCATCGATAATAAATTCATAATTTGTTGCGGATATAATATTAAATGACGTTTTTCATCCATAGTTAAAACTCTTTACTTTTCTATCTAAAACCATTAACACGCATTAAAGGTTATCCTCAAAAATATAATTGAGTCATAATTTGTGTTGGATGTAATATTAAATTATGCTTATCCATAGTTAAAACCCATTATTTTTCTATCTAAAATCATTAATACGCATTAGAGGAGGCAATCCAGTCTAGTATAGTATACTCTTAATAGCTGGGTGGTAATTAAGTGAATCTCAATTTTCGTTTAATTAATTAAGAGAATCATTGACATTATTTTTAACGAATAGGGATGATAACTATAGTTTTAAAAACCGGAATCGTGATCGAATCGGTTAAAGTACTAAGTCAGTGAGTTAAAAGTTGAACCGGTGGGTCACTAGTTGAACCGCATGACTCAATTTTTATTTATTTTTATTAAAAAATATTCATATTAAATATATTTTATACTTATAAATTTTAATAAATTCATATTTTATTTTAAATTTCAAATTTTCTATCTTATTTAAAATTATTTTTATTTTTATTTTGTAAAAAAATATATAAAAAAAATTACATGTTAAACTGTATATTAATACAAATTAAAAGTATAAATAATATGTACATATATAATATGCTTGAAATTGATAATACAAAATAATATATGTAATATCTACATAGATATTATATTATTAAATATATAATTTAAAATTAATAATATACTATAAAAGTTATTTAATTTTTATATATTATAAACAAATACATTATAACAATGATTCATTTTTATATTTAATAAGAATCTTTGTTCTTCCATTAAGAGATTCAATTTTCATTATTATTTTTGTGGTTTATGGTCCCTTAAAAAATTTTTGAAAAAAATAAGAAAAAAAGTGGTTGAACCGGAAAATTGACCGGTTCAATTAGGTTTGAAATGGGTCGACTGCATAACCGATCCAATTTAAGATTCGAACCGACTGGACCACCGATTCCCGGTCCAACCGGTCTGACAGGCCGGTTCGATCCAGGTTTTTAAACATTGATGATAACCATAATTGACTATCTATCCATTGTATTTTTTTTCAATTTAATAGATATGTATTATTACTATAAAAATATATATATAATCAGCCATTCATTAATCATTAATTATTAAGATAACTTTGAAGATAGTTATATCAAGAGCATCTTTTAACAAGTGTATTTTAAATATTTCATTTTAAATATCCTATTTAAACAATTAATAAGAAATTTATGTAAATTTTTCTCTAATGATGTATCTTAATATAAGAAACTTGCATTTTTATATATTTTTATTTACATTGGGTTCTTTGGAAACTTCTTTCATCTCTTCTTTCTCAATACTATGAAATTATTTTTTCTTCATAAGCTACTGTATCTTGTACAAGATATGTATCCTAATTTAAGCTTTTTTTAAAAGCTACTCTTGATACCATATAAACCAATTCTAATGCAGGAAAATAATAATAATAATAATAATAATAATAATAATAATAAAGTATCATTATTTATTTATAATTAAGCAACATATAAGATATCTGCATTAAAGATGTTATAATATAAATTGACAAATTGATCATATATATACAGTGATCTATGATAATAATTTAAACTTGGAAAAAGAGTTACAGAATATTATGATGCAGTAGATTATTATTTAGAAGCTACATATCTTGTGATGTATACCTGCTAAAGCATCAAGTAGTGTTGATTTGCCACAGCCAGAGGGACCCATTATGGCCAAGAGTTGTCCAGGCTTGGCATAACCAGTGAGACCCTCAAGAATTGATTTCCTCCCATCCTTTCTATTGGAGGCACTCACCCACACATCCTTCCATGTCAAGCAGATACCCACTTCACATTCTCCTCTATTCATCTTTCTTTCCATTTCAATGTCTAGGACTTCTGATTTTGACCTAGGTTTGGTTTCACAAGCACTTATAGGACCACATGAAACAGAGTTATCGTGAGGGCAAGCCATAGCTATCACTATGTAGTGATTAATAATACCACAGTCTGTGGCCTTTGGGAGTATGAATAACTTTTTGCAACACATAAAGCCACATATATAGACTTCTTGTGCAATTATAAAACGTGTTTCCTATCTTAACACGTGTTTCGTATATAGATTATTCAGAATTAAAAACGATTACATGGTAGAATTAGGTATAGTATGGGAATTAAATGAGGGAGGAAAAGAGAGAGCTTTTAGACCACAAAACTCTTTTCATTCAATATTAGCTGCAGTTTGGTGGAGCCTTGAGCTGTTTCACCGAATGTGTCCTTGTTTTCTTTGTTCTTTCATGGTGAAACATAAATGTATCACAAATCCTTCCAAAAAAAATTAAAATGTATTAGATTGGTTTTATTCTTTAATTATAATTAAAATTTTATATATTTAATGAAAATCTCAATAATACATATTTATATATTGTTAAAAAAAATTGATCATGATTAAAAAATGACACTAATTACAATTCAGAAACTAAAAAAATATAGGTATATATATAATTTGTCGATTTGTGCTCAAATTTAATTAAATTTAATTTTCCCTAAAATGAATCCATCATCCAACACCATAAGATTTTTTAAATTTTGTACCTATTTTTCTTCTTATGGATGAGAATCGAGGATAAATACTAGCCACCGAGAATTCATAGCAGTACGTACTTTTCTTTTAAAATACAATTAGTTAAAATATACTTACTAGAATTTTTTTTATATTATATGCGATTTTCGTAAAATTTACAGAGAATTTGATTCTTACAAATTTTTCTATGAAATTTTATTTTGTTAATTTTAAAATTTGCAAGAAATTTTTCTGCAAAATTTCTTGTGAAAAAATTCACAAAAAAGTTTCTTGTGAATATTTTGCAAGAAATTTTGTAAAAAAAATTTTATAAAAAAAATTAAAGAAATTGCTGCAAAAAGTTTCTTGCGAATTTATAATTCAAAAGTAATTTTTGTATATTATGAGTATCAAATCATCATTTAATTGTAAGTATCAAATCATCATTATTAATTCTTCAATTATTATCTTTTAAATATTGAATTTGAATTCATAATATGTTTTTCACACTAATATGTGATTGTTGAGCTTTTGAAATTTTAGAATGCAGGTTATAGATCTAACTCAACCTACAAAATTAACTTATAAGGTGAGTGTTGTCACTAATTATATACTTCTTAATTATTTTATTTCTAATCAATATGGCATTTAAGATTTTTTTTAAAAATTAATTAGATCATGTCTTCATTAGAAATAAATTTAATTCAATATTTGCAGAAAAATAACATATTTCTAATAAATAAATTATATTTACAATATTTTTCTGTGAAATTAAATAAATTATATTTACAAGACAAATATTTTTCTGCGAAATTAAATAAATTATATTCCTGTAAATATTTTTTTGGAAAAATTTGCAAAAAAAAATAACATATTTCTAATAATGATATATCTTTTGTTTGTTATTTTTTAATTATTACAAAAATATGAGGGGAAAAAGTAATTTCTATCCATCAAGTATATGTAAATTTCGAACTGAGAATTAATATTAATTAACAAAGAGTTCTTTTAGTTTAATCCAAGATTTCTAGGTCGAAATTTTATGAAAGATATATTTATAATAATTATCCAATTCAACTTAAGTTATTTTAATGAACATTCATATTATATTATGCACACCTGTGAAACTCGATTGATTAGTGAGTGGACGGTTTTTATTATACATATTTTTTATATTATTAAAAATACATCAATATAAAAGGTTAAAGTATAATAAATAATATAAATATCTATAAAAAAAAATAGAGATGAAAGAAAAAAAAATCTTTATACATTGAGGATATATTTTTTTTTAATAAAAAAGTCAACTTTTACAACAATAATTTGAAACGGTGTTCCAATGTGAAACATGACAGATTGACACCTATTAAAATTGCTCTATATTATATTTAAAATAAAATAAAAGTGGCATTGCATTATCATGGCTCTGTTTTTTTGTTTGTTTTTCTTTCATTCTTAATCATTTTAATTGTCACATTCAAGTATTTTGTTTAAAACACGGAACATAACTAGGAGTGTAAAATGTAAATGAGGTAATCTATTTATGAACTATTCCGATTAGTTTAAACTTGTTTCTTTACTTAAAATTCAATTAATCTTATAAATCAAAATTAAAATGAAAATAAAAAAATATTAAAAATGAAGCAAAATTCATTAAAGTATTATACTAAAAAGAAGAATTTAATTCATTTTATCAATATCTGAACTTTATTTTATTGTATGTAAAAAAAATATAAAAAGCAAGTTCTTTTGTTGATTTGTTCCACAGAGATATCAAACTCCCCATTTTTGTATAAAAACAACGTTAATTATGTATAAAAAAAATCATAAATAAATTGAAAAAAGTCGATTATCAAATTCGAAGTGATGGCCATCGCTTTATAAATGCAATGCTCTAACCTCTGAGTGGTAAATAAATTCAAGTTTGAAATTAGGTTTGATTAATTAAATAAAATGAAAGCTATAATATATTTAAACAATTAAGTAATTATAAATTTTTCTAAAAAAAACTCAAATAAAAGTAATGAATATAAATAATTTGTTTAAAAATATAAAATTAAATATTTATTATTTAACTTCTATAATAGATATTCAATTACATAAGTTTTTTCTAGAAATATTTTCTGAAGATATGAACTATATATAAAACATAAAACAATTGTTATAAGAGTTTAATTTATATACTTACAATGTAAAATATTTTGCAAATCATTATTACTATACTTTTTAAGGTAGATTTTATAAAATTGAGCTAATTTATCGTGTATAATAATTTATGAATAAAATATGTCATGATTATTTTATAATATAAGTATATATATAAAATATTATTTACTCTTATTATAATCTATACTCAATTAAATAAATAATTATATTTGAGCAGTTAAAGTTATATTTTGTGAGTATAGATTAATTTATAATTATGAACATTGAAATACAACATAAATTTTGTTGCTGAAAAAAAAAATATAATAAATAACCCTTTACATAGCACATGTAAAACTTAATTATCCATGTCGGTGGTTGAGCATCCTTTATTAGCCAACAGAATTCAGAAATCTCATTCAACAGTCTTAGGATAAGCCAGAAACTGAATATGGATCAATCAATCTTGGGCCTATGAAACATCTCAATCCGTGGGCCCATGACACAGCATAAATGACTTTCGGAGTTATGGAATAAGTACTACGTGTCTCATTTCTCATCTCAAGATGAATAGGTCAAAATATCTTAGGATTATGTTGAGTTGTTACACTTGTACTTGAATTTGTCTTGAAAGCTGATTAATTTACTTTTCAATGCTTTTAAAAAAAGAAGAAAAAAAAAAGAATTTTTTAGTATCTATGAAATAGCAGTTTTTTTTTTAAATTATTTTTTCAATTATTTTTACTATTATGTACTGTAATTATTTAAAAATAAAGACTAGAAAATTACTATCAAATAATAGTAAAAATAATTGGAAAAAAATTATTATAACCTTACTATACATAAAAAATGCAAAGTACAAGAAATAAGTATAAAAAATATATTAGTAATTAGGAAAAAATATATAAATTATATCATATATATATATATATATATATATATATAATGAAGGATTCATTTATTCTTTGAGTAAGTTTACCTAACGAATCAATGCATAAATTAAGTCTGCAAATTTTTAAAAGATTTGAAAATTATTTAATACTTCGTTTCATTAATCCAAATCAACGTATAAGATGATTTTATGATTATCTGTCAATTTGAATTAATAAAACGAAGTATTAAATGATTTTTAATTTTTTAAGATTTCAGACTTGATCTATGCATTAAGAACTTTAAATACAACGGTTGAATTGTTGAAATTTGATGTAAAACATGAGTTATTAAATGGTGTAAGTCTAGGTAGACTTACTTTAGGAGTAAACGGATTCGTCCTATATATATATATATATACAAAAATAAGTGTAATGTTGGACAAAATATTTGATTAGTTTAACTTCTTTGTATTTACTTCAATCCAAAGTCTAAACTACTTTCATGTTTTATTTGGATGATAGAAGATTTTGAGAGGAGAGGGAAGGAAAGAGAGAGGGGGGAGAATGAACAAATTTTTTAGTTGTTTGAATTTAGAGAAGTGAGAGAGAAAGAATTGAGAGTGTGTTTTATAATGGCATATATGTCTTTAAAAAAATATTTATATAATTCAAAATAAAAAGGTAAACATGTCATTTTAATTTTAATTTCTCCTATTTATTTTTTTGTCGTCTTATGATCTATTTAGATATCTTCATCTTGAAAGTGTAATATTATATGTTTTGGGGTGCTTTATTTAATTATATGTGATATATGATTAAATTGTTGAATTGTTGTTATGTCTATTGTTTTAGAGCTCTAAGGGTCAAGTAACACTTAAGAGTTAAGTTGTCTCTAAGTTAGTCTCAAACAGAGATCACTTAGTTCAACTTAAGGAAGGATATATAAGATTTTCTTAAGACATGAACCTCATAAGTTCATGTTTTAAGAAAAACTAGAAAGAATCTAAAAAGAAGGTCTTTGGAAATCGAAGATTTCTTCTTCATCTTCCCTTACTGAATTCTTCTTCTACTTCTTCCCTACAATTGATCCAAGGTGACTGTTGTGGAGATTCAAGCTTCCAAGTTAGGAATCTTAAGTCAAACATGTGGTGTTCTTCTTCTTCCTTTTTCTCTTTCACTTGGAGTTGAAGTAAGGGAAGATAGTCTCTTGATTCTTGTTGGATTGTTTGAGTTGCATGTTTCATATTCATCGAGACATTGATGTGTTGGTTGATTTAGGATTGAATTATTTAGGTTTTGGGTTTTGGTGTTTTAAGCTTGTGAAGGTGAATTTTGGTGATTTAATTCTATTTTTTATTGCATATGTTGAAGTTCTTGTGCTAAATGGGATGTTGATAACATATATAAATGATATCTTGCATTGCATGTTGGAAATCCCCCGAGTTTCAGGTGGATTGAGCAAATTCTTGAATTTGTTATACACAGATTTCACCATCGCGTTAGGTGCACCTTCATGGTGTTGAGCATGACTTAAATTAAGGGTTCTTTATTCTAATCATGTTGAGTGCAACATTGGTGGCGTCGAGCATGAAGAAAGAGAAACATTTCTAACTTAGTCACGCTAGGTGTGGTTTTAAATGGCTTCGAGCATGAGAAAAAAGAAATATCTTTGACTTGGTCACACCAAACATGGTTTTGAATGGCGTTCTGCATGAGGAGATAGAAGTGTCTCTGACTTGGTGGCGTTGGGCCCTTTGTTGAAAGAATTTAGGCATGATCAAGACAAAGTCCCTTTGTCTAAACAACATTGCACACCAATTTAGTGATGTCAGAGATGAGTCAAATAGAAATTATCTGCCTAAAACGAGGTCAGACGTGGAGTTTGTACATGACAGGCATGAAAGCAATAAAGGTCCTCTATCTCATCCATGTCGAGCGTAGGTCAAGTGGCACTGAGTTAGCATGGGCGAGCTTGGTAGCTCTCTGACTCAATGGCATCAAGTGTGGGAAGAATGGCATCAAGCATGTGTTGCCTATTCAAAAAAGTGTTACTTTTGGCTAAGTATTATACATTGTATGAGTAATAGGAGAATTTATAAGTGGTATGTTGTTGTATGATATCATTTATTTACACACTAATGTATATAGTTGATTAAACCATTGAAGTATAGCATGAGTTGTATGTTACACCGTGTTCAAAATGCTTTGTGTATTAAATTGATTTAACTGACTTATGATTAGAGGAGAGGTTATTTTAAAAATTTGGATATCCCATTATGATAATATTGTTGTGGTACTCTATGAGCCCAATTTTTGAAAATTCATCTTAGAATGTTAACCCTTGATGCAAATTGTTGAGTTTCATCTAGAGCCTTAGTTGATGTAGTATATGAGCAAAATCGAGGCATACCAGTTATAAGCAACCACAATATATGGGTCAGGTCAAGTTATATGGATTACAAGCGACCAATGTTGATTTGTATACGAGTAAGATCGAGATATACATGTATATAGTGATCAACCAAGTAAGGTATAAAGTCGAGGGCCAAAATTCCTAACTAAGTACTAGAAGGGAGTAGTATTTGGGGGTAGTGACAGGTTAATCCCATAGGTAGCTTAGTTATGTAAGCTATTATTGTGATAGGCTCATACCCATGTTGATTTATCCTGACAAGAATATTAAACTTCCTAGTTTAAGTGGAAAAATTTGAAAAATCATGATTCTTATGGAAACTTATCCAAATTGATTGTTGATCTAGCTAGATTAAAAAGATTGCATTATTTTTGGTTCATTAGGATCGACAAGCCACTTAGACTACTCACCTATATTGTAGGAGATCTCTTAGTTGAAATACGTGATGACATATTGTTAAGTCTCAATTTTACCTCTTTTTGGATGAAAAATTTTAATTGGGTAATTTTAGTGTCTAAAGCATTGCAATTGTGCAATTTTGGTCTTTCAATTTTTAATTAAACAATTTTAGTCCCTCAAATATCATAATTATGTGATTTTAGTCTATCTCATTGTACAAAAATTTATTAAATTAATCTTTTATACGTGTAATCACTTGTTTGGTCTTTATCACTATTAACTCTATTACAAAATTTTAATTTGTTTCTATACATATATATAGTGCATAATTAATTTGGTATCTGTATATAAAAGCTAAATTACTACAAGTAAGGAAACTAAATTAAGAATGTGTTACGTATACAAAGACCAAATTATGAATACATCAGAAAGTTAATCGTCAATATATGAGTAGGGATCTAACCAATAACATGTATTAGGGTTAAACATTGGTTAGATTTTGGGTCTAAAAAGTCTAATATGAACGAACCTGCAAACAATTTTTTTTTTAAGGTTTTTCAACCACAATGTACATCAATTTGGATGGGTCGGGTGTTGGGTGAGTTACAAGTTGAATAGGTGAATTAGAATGATTTGGAACTTAATTTGAGCCAATATTTGTTTTCAGTCTCAACTTATTTTGACAAACTTTTTATTTCCTTTTTTAAAATTTAACTTTTAAAAACTAAATGGACCAGTTTGCTATAAATAAAAAATAATAATAAAAAAAAGAATCATAATTGTTGAATTTAACATTGCTTTTGTTAACTACATCTTCCACCATAAATAATACATCTCTATTACTTTTTCAATGTTTTAAAACTCGGACCATTGTCGATCTGATCGAATTAATCGGAACCCGGTCTTATATGTCCAATTTGGTCCTACATTTAGATTGGAAATACACTTAACCTGCTGAAACTTGGATAACTTGTTATTAAATCGATTAAAATCGGTCACTCAACTTGGATCAGAGTCAACTTTGATCATTTTTTTTTCACATTATCCAAACACACTTACATCTAACACTTTTGAGCCCATTAACTTGTCAGTTGTCAAATTGTGCAATCATATACTTAGAAAGCTAAACTTCAAATTTGAATTGAAACAAAATTTGGGATGCACTTAAATTTTAAATTTAAATATAATTTGTAGTGAATTACACGACAAATTTATGTCAAAATAATATATCCATGATGATTCGAATAATGGTCTCAAGGCATATTTAAGCAACTAATAACCAATAAGTTAAGGAAGTAGTAACCATTTTTTATTTATATACAATGTGTTGTATAAAATTATATATTAATTTATTTAATTCAACTAGTCTATAATTTTATTGTTCTGTCGATATTATATTAACTATAATTAAAATTTATAAAAATATATAGGTATTAAACGTATATGGTGTAAACATTTTTTTAAAAAAAATTAATAAATATCAAGTTATGTGGTTTAACTACTGACTCATCGATTTGTCATGTGACCCAATATCTTGATCGATTTGATGATTGATCTAATTTTTTTTTACTAGCATGTTTGACACTTTTAATGATGGGTAAAAAAACTTTTTATGTCGACTATAAACTCGTCATAGATCTCGAAAATATAGAAAGTCTTGACTTTTTATGTTGGTTATAAAAATAATTGACATAAAAAGTTATTTTTGGGTTAATAATTGCTTCTTTATTGTCTTTTTTTCTCTCTTTTCGCATTTTGTTGTCATGCTCTATTTTTATTGTTTCATCTCTTTACGTTTCGCCATCACACTTTTTCCCTTTTGTTGTCGCATATCATCACATTCTATCATCAGACTTTTTTCCTCTTGTTCTCACATCTTTGCATTTTGCCATCATTGTGTTTTGCATTTCATTGCCACCACCACTAGTGGAAAATTAGGATACTACGTCACTCATTTTACGTCGGACATACAAACACCCGACGTAATAAAAACGCGGTGGCATGGTTCGTAAATTTAATTAAATTATTTACGTCGAACCTCCTAGGGTCCAACGTAAATTTTAACATCTACGTCGGCTATGCATTGTGTCCGACATAGATGTTAAAATTTACGTCGGACCCTACTAGGGCCGACGTAAATAATTCACAGAATCGCCTATTAAAAGAAGGTGGTGAGAACGCTGGTGCTTGTTGTTGAGGTTCAAGTAAGAGATTTCAAAAACTTCCTTCTCTCGCGCGTTGTGCAATGGAGGCCACACGCGAGAAATCCCTCCGCCTCCTCCTCAAATCGTGGTTGCCCTCGCAGTCGGAGCCACCATTCGTCGTGAGTGGTCCGACATCAACGCCCTCCGCCTCGACAAGTTATACCTCCTCTAGAGCTTAGGAAGGTTGGGGAAGAGGTTGATTCGCGTGATGATGTTCTTCTTCTTCGGATGGTTGCATTGGTCATGGGTTTTTCTGGGAGGTTCTACGAGGTGGCGTCTTCTACTGAGTGTGTTCACGGGAATAGGAAGGTGATGTTTGCGTTGCATTCTGAGTTTTTGAAGCTGGAGAAGGAAGTGGCCAAGTCCGGGTTGCAGAACGGGCCGTTCTGATTGGAGAACGGCCCGTTCTCCATGTCGTTCTCCATTCAGAACGGGTCGTTCTCCATGCAAAACAGGTCGTTCTGCTTGGACAACGGGTCATTCTCCAACTAAAACGGCTTGTTCTGCTTGTAGTCGTTTTTCTTTTTTTTTTTTAATTTAATTTTTTTACAACTTTTTACGTCGGACCTTGTAATGTCCGACGTAAATTTACGTCAGTTTTTGCAACCGACGTAAATTTACGTCTCCCGCTTCGACATCGAAAGTTTTTTGATGCGAGGCCCCTTCGCAGGACCAGGGATAGGCGTCCCCCAATCTGGCTTAAGGATTACAAGGTTTAATTGGGCTTCGTATTGCTTCCGGGCTAGGATGTTATCGTATAAATGTTTTTTATCTTCCACTAAGTCTCGTAGTGGGCCTGATGGATCTACATTCCTAGGGTTCACCTTCACTATATATCTCAATTGTATTGTGTTGATGAGGCAATGAAGAATTATCACAGTTTATTTTCATACAGTTTTCTTTCTTAGGTTAATAGTAGCGTTGTCCATATCATCTGGTGCTTTCATCGACCCTCATGCCCCCCAAGCACAACAAGGACCTTGAGGATGCTGTGCAGGCTCTCACGGAGCATCTCAACACCATTACTCAGCAACATGATCAACGTATCGACCAACTCCAGGCAGCCATGGCTCACCGTCATGATGCTCTCACTGGTACCATTGCCACCCTGATTGAGAAAGTTCAAGCCCTTTCTACAATTAATCCAAACCACGGTGCTCCCATTCACTCCGCCAACACCTCTACAACCCCACCTGTGATTCCCATGACCCCTGGGCCCTCTTCCAACACCACACAACCTCCAGGTTTCTCCCCTTTTCCCCTATTTTTTACCCCATTTCCTCATAACCCTGGGCCTTCCCATAACCCATTTCAACAATTTTCATCATATACGCATAGCCCTCCTTCCAACCCAACCCTTCGCCTTCCTAAACTCCAATTATCCCCTTTTGATGGATCACATCCTTTAGATTGGATTTTTCAAGCCGAGCAATTTTTCTTGTTTCACAATGTGGCCCCTGAGCAACGTTTGCCTATGATTTCGTTTTATATGAAGGGTGATGCTTTAAGTTGGTTTAAATGGATGCATTTTAACCACCAGCTGCAGGATTGGGAGTCATTTACTCGTTCTTTAGAGCTGCGATTTGGGCCGTCGTCCTATGAAAACCACCAACAAATGCTATTTAAACTTCGCCAAAAGGGCTCCGTCATTGATTACCAGGTGGAGTTTGAACGCATCTCAAATCGCGTATACGGTTTATCTCCTGACTCTATATTACATTGTTTCATCTCTGGATTATTACCTGAAATTCAAGAGGAATTAGCCCTTCACCGTCCCCAATCCATCAACCAAGCCATTGACCTTGCTAAACTAGTTGAATCCAAATTATCAGCTTCCAAAGCTCGAACCTCCACTCGCATTGTTCCTCACAAACCTTATTCTTCCCTTCCACCACCCAAACCCTCCCTACCAGCCCCCCCGTCTTCCCCAGTTCCTTCTACCACTACTTCCCCCACTCTGCCTGTCAAACGTTTGACCCAAGCCCAACTCCAAGAGCGACGTGCCTTGGGATTGTGTTATAACTGTGATGAGAAGTTTCACCCCACTCACCGTTGTAAGCCCAAACAATTTCTTCTTCTTCTCACAGAAGACGCGGACCCTCATTCCACTCCCCCGATTTTTGACCCCTCTCCTCCTTCTTCCCCAACCCACATAGACTCCACCCTTCTTTCTCTCCAACTTTCCCCTCAAGCACTTATAGGTTCCCCTTCGCCCAAAACCCTCAGGTTTCTAGGGTCAATTGCGGGTATTACTATTACTATTTTGGTGGATACGGGCAGTTCCCATAATATACTACAACCTCGATTAGCCAATCACCTAAACCTTTCCATTCACCCAATTTCCCCTTTCCAGGTTATGGTTGGCAATGGTGACACTATTCCATGTACGGGCTTTTGTCCTAATGTAGATCTCACCATTCAATCTCACAAATTTATCATTCCTTGTTATCTTTTACCCATTGCCGGGGCAGATTTGGTTTTGGGTATTGCTTGGTTACAAACATTGGGGTCCATAGTTTCCGATTTCTCCGTTCCATGCATGACCTTTACCCACGATCATACCCTTATCACCTTACTGGGATCTACCAACCTACCTCCCCACTCAGCTTCCTACCCACAAATTCTCCAATTCCTACACAATGACGCCATTACCTCCTTACATTTATTAACTTTTACCCAGATACCTTCACCAGATCCTGAACCTACTAACCTTCCAAACTTCATTTCCCACCTTTCCCCAGATTTTCAAAACATAATTCTCCAATACTCTAGTGTTTTCCATACGCCCCACGGATTACCACCAGTTCGTTCCCATGACCACCACATCACCCTCCTCCATTGTTTCTGAATTATTACAGGACGGCTTAATTATACCAAGCCACAGCCCGTTTTCCTCCCCAGTTTTATTGGTGCGAAAAAAAGATAATACATGGCGTTTTTGTGTTGATTATCGGGCTCTCAATGCCATTACCATTAAAGACCGTTTTCCTATTCCAACCATTGATGAATTACTAGACGAGTTGGGCAATGCTACTATTTTCTCTAAGATTGATTTGCGCTCGGGGTATCATCAAATTAGGATGAAAAGCATTGCAATTGTGCAATTTTAGTCTTTCAATTTTTAATTAAACAATTTTAGTCCCTCAAATATCATAATTATGTGATTTTAGTCTATCTCATTGTACATTTATTTTAAAATTATACAATTATTTGTCTATGTAGTTGAATTATTGTACATATGTAATTGTGTTGTAAGTTGCGTGATGCATATGTCATATTGTAATGTAGTGCAATTTGAATGATAAGTTGTGCATGTGACGGGTTTATATATTATGTTGTTCACATGCTATGTTAGATTGTGATGAGTAATATAATTGTTTAACTTCTATACTTATTTATGTTGATTTCTTTTGAACACTAATTTACCCTTAAATGTTTTTATGTGCTTGGACTACGATAATCATACTTGATATGGAAGTAAATATGGGATAGGTATGAGGAAAAGTACATATGAGGTCATGATGGTGATGGTGTTTGTTAGATCAAAAGATGTTTTTAGACCCCTTAAAATTTCAAGTTTTAATGTCAACAAACATAGAAGTTTTTCTAAAGAAAAGATTTTGTGAATAAAACACTAAGACAAATAAGACACTAAGACGATTAACTTATCTAGTCAAATGAAGTAGTATGAAAGACACGTGATTTAATTTCATATCATGTATGATATCTACTAATAGAGTCATTTGTGTTTGTATGATTCCTTAATAGATTGAATGGAAAAGATTCCTCACATATAACTAAAAGGAATAAAAGACATGTTTTGCATCAAAAAAAGACAATCTGATCCCCTGAATCATGCAAAACGTCATATAAAGTTATTCAAAACTACTCTAACCTAGCACACGCATGGTTCTACATGTTTGGTATTTAAAAGGTGATAAGTAGTCTCCTTGGCCAGATAATAAATAACAATTTGGTGAAATGTATTTAATGCACCAACGGACACTTCTTTTCACAAGGAAAGAAGATGAAGACAAACAAAACAAGCTTGTGAGAGATATTCAAGGATTTGCAACGGTCATTTTCATTGAAGCACCTATATAAGGAAGCATGATGATTTAGAAAGAAGAGTTATTATTTTTTATTTTTGAACATATTCATATTTATTCTTTCTGTAAATCAACTCTATATTATATTGGTTCTATCACGACTTGAAAGTAAGACGAAACAACATTGTTATCTTATCCAACTATAACTTAGTGTTATTGCTTTGAATGTAAAGAAACTTATCTATAAAAGAATACTTAGTTGTTGAAGCCTAAAAAGATTTTGTGTTAAAGAATACTTCGATAGTTGCTTGAAGAGGCAAGTCAAGACAAGTCAAAGAACACCTAGGTTTGAGCCAGAAATGGCTTGGAAAAAAAATATTTGTATCTTTGTATAAGATAATGAAACTTGATCTGGTTAGATTAATAACTGGATGTAGTATTAGTGGTTGAGACAAACCAGTATAAAAATACATTGTGTTCATATTCTTATATCTCCATTTGTACTCCTTGCTATAAAGATATTACTTCGCTATTTCAACAAATGTGAATTTTTTATAGACACTATTCAACCCCCTTCTAATGTCTCTCTTTTATCCATGGTGTTGGTGTTCTTTTGTGCTACTTTATATAACTGGTGTAGTATGTTGTTGTTAAGTCTCAATTATACTTCTTTTGGACAAGACTTAATGAACAATTCCACTCATTCTTTGAACCATTGCAACATAATTGTTCTCTTTTTGATTCAGTTCTGTGCAGATATAGCTAACCCAGAATTTAGCTAACAATACCTTAATACACCTCATTTTTTGTGTAGGTATTGAGCTAGAGAATTGAAGATTGAAGGCCCTTAGGATTGGAAATCTAAGGAGCTAAGAAGCAGAGCAGAGTGGCTGCGCCGGGCGCAATATGACTCGCGTCGGGCTTGAGAAGAACAGAGTGTTCCACCTTTGCAAGTCACACCTGCGCCGGGCGCGAGACTACCCTCGCCGGGCGTGATCGAGACAGAGAGTACCTCAAACTCTCTAGAAGGTATTGCGCCGGGCGTAAAAAGGAATTGCGTCGGACGTGTTCTAAGGCAGAGAATATTTGACCTCACTGGAAGGCCCTGCGCCGGGCGCAGATACTTATGCGCCGGGCGCGAAGCCCTAATCTGACTCCCCAAGCTCGTATTTGAAGCCATTTTCGGGGTTTTCTTCCTCATTCACACATTGGGCACGTTTTAGGAGCTGTGGAAGGGATTCCCGGAGCTTGGAGTCGTTCGTGTGTGGGTCTTTCCTTCGGTTCTTCATTTCTCCCTTCATCTCTATTTTGTATTTACCCTCATTGTTTTGAGTGGTTCTACCCATTTTTGTGGGGTTAGATGTAACCAACGAATTCTAATGTAATCCTTACGTTTTCAATGATATATATATATGTTGTTCATATATTGTTGTGTTGTTTCTATTCTTAATGTTTGCTTTGGATTGATTCTCCTTTGCATGATATAGGTTCCATTGGGTGTTGGAAAATAACCATTGAAACTAGCTCTGAAACAAATGCCTAGTGGGAAATGTATCTAGGAATGGAGCTTAGCCCATTAGTAGTCTTAAACCCTAGCCCATAATGCGGGTGTAGATATTGGGTACTCAAGGAATTGATATTCAATATCTGCACCTAGGTTCTTGCTCTAAGGGATTAGGTTTGAGTAAATTTATGTGTTGACTAAGCAATGTATGTAACAAGAGATTAAGGAATCATTAGTCTGACGTTTGGTGAAATCTGACCCCACAATCTCACAAAAACCATAATACCATTTCTACCCTTTTCCACACAAAAACCAATATTTTATAGTTTTAACATTCCAGTAGTCATGCTTTTCAATTCACATTTACATGACAAACTACAAAAATGGAATTATTCTTTAGTCACGAATAGTCAATAAATGCTTATGTTACCTTCTAATCCATGTGGATACGATAATTTTACTACTTGAACGGCCGGTATACTTACCGTGTTTGAGACCGTTGATAGAATTAAACTGATTTATAATTATAACAAAAGTATTTCAACGGAAAATCTCAACAGTTGTTTAACCAGCAACTTAGACTTATAGATTTTTTAGTTGATTATCTTGAATTATTATATATATATATATAGGGGTTTAGGGTTCACTAATATACTCCCACGTTGTTTTTAAAGGGAGTACTTTAGCATCTTCCACCTTTTCTTTTTTGACAAAAAAAACCATTTCACTATTTTAAAAACAACTTAGACTAAAATGGTAAAGGTATAATTTCATATTTAAATTGCTCACTCCTTTTCTCGTTGAAGCAACGTTGATTTCGCTGTCTATTAAAATCCCTATTTTGTCATTCTCATTAAAAAAAAATTGAAGACGCTCAATCCTCCAACATTATGCGATATCATTCCTACTGCATTTCTAAACTTGTATGTTATTCAATCATCCCTTGTCTTTTATTTCTTTGTGACATTCTTCACCTTTTCTCGTTGAAATTTAATGGTTTTGCACTTGTTACTTCCATTGTATGTTTTTTGTATTTGAGTAGTCTTTCTTTCTTTTCCTTTGTATTTTAGAATTTTATATACTTTGTTGTTGTCTATCTGTGCTCAATTGCTATGTTTTTTTTAACAAATTGCCTAAATATTGTGAACGTCGATTACGCTTATGAATGACTATTCAGTTGCTTTATTTTTTATTTAAATATGAAAAAAATTAGATTTAAGCTAAGATCACAATGACATTTGAAGTAAAAGATGGTGTCGGTGATTGGCCCTTAGAGATTTTTAAAGACTGTGCTTCTACAAGTGAAATTAATGGAAATATAATTTCTTTTACATTTCAAGAGACTCAAGAAGAACCATTGCCTGAAGCCAATAATATTTATGATGAAGTTCCTTATGAAGGGCAAATGTTTAATAGCTATGATGAAGCTTATGAATTTTATTATGCATTTGCACAAAAAAAATGGCTTTTCGATTAGATGTGACCATACTTACAAATCTAGTAAGAGGCAAACCGAGGAGAATTCATTAGGTATTTATAAAAGGAAATTTGTTTGTCATCGTGGTAGTTCTATTAAACAACGCAAAGTTATTGAAGAGGAAGGTTCAAGATGTAATTGTGGGGCAAAAATGTTGATTAGCAAAAAAGACAATTGACTTCAGCGGGAAAGGGAGTAAGCAATTTAAATATGAAATTACACCTTTACCGTTTTAGAGTAAGTTTTTTTTTTAAATTGTTTTTTTTTTTTTTGTCAAAAAGAAAAGGTGGAGGATGCTAAAATACTCCCTCTAAAAAGAGTGTGAGAAAGTATATTAGCAAACCCCCTATATGTATATATTAGTTCCTAGAGGGGAACATTTGTAAATTGTATAGGTTGGTTTCTTTATATTCCTGCACATATATTATATATGTTTATCCATGCAATTGTTTGTATTTTTATCCTAGATAGATGCATTTATATTTTTTCACTAATAATAATTGAACTATTAAGTGTAGTGATATAGTGGGTTATTACAAAAAAGATTTTTTTTTAAATATAGACTCTACCTATTTTTTTTTTTTGTACTCTCATTTTTCATCATTTTCAGACAATATAAAATCTATAACCAAATAAAAAAATGATATACTTTTTTTTTGTACACAATTTTAAAACCATTTTATCCTTGTATATTACCGTCTAAGTTCTAACCACTCTCACTTTCTTTAAGTATTTTACTTCTTTTAAGGAAGGCTAAGAATATGTTTTTCTCTGCTAGTATGAAATTAAAAGGTCTTCATACAATACAAAACCAAATCTAGAAACTGTATTTCCAAAACTGTTGCAGGAGTGCGAGATACCATTTTACGTTAATTCATATATATTGCAACTTTTTTAAATATATTTTTAATCTTTTATACTTAAGGTAAAATTATTTTTAATCTCTAAATTTTTTTAAAATATTTAATTTTATAATTTCTAAAAATGTTATTTTAATCTCTCAAATCACCAACAACATATCTAAAAATAATAAATTGAGACAATTATATAATATCAGTTAAATTTAATGTCATGTGATGTTATCACTAACAGAAATACTAGTAGGTAAAGTTTATGTGACAATATTTAAAAGGTTCTCTAACAAAATTTAAGTATAAAAATTAAAATAATATTTTTGAAAATTATAAAGATTAAAAAAATCAATTTTAAATTTAAAAACTATAAAAAAAAACATCTTAAATTTAAAAGACTAAAAGTATATTTAATTATTTTATTTAGGATAATCGTTGTAAGGGAGTTGTCAAACTATGAACTTTTTTTATCTAACAACTAACACAAACATGTTAATGTATATTATATTAAAAAGATATATAAAACGTACAAAATATTTTAAATTAAATGATAAAATATTATTTTACTAATAATAAACATCTAAAACTAGGGTTGAAATTCTTTTTTTTTTTTTTAAAGTTAATTCGTAAAGATTAGGTTTTTCGAGTTTGTCCCTATAGAAGATTTTCTCTATTTTACTAATCATTAAACTAGTTAAATGACAAGTTCAAAATAAAAATAAAAATAAAAATAATAATAATAATAATAATAATATAACTTGTTATTTATATAATTAAATATATTTTTAGTCTTTGAATTTTTTGTCAATTTTTATTTTTAAGTTTCTAAACAAATTTTATTTGAGTTAATCTTTAAAACTTTATATGAACAAAAAGTTTTAAAAAACGGGAACCAAATCGTTAATGGAAAAAAAAGTTCTAAAACTAAAAGTAAAAAGTAAAATTTAACTAAAATTTAAGGAATAAAATTAGTATAAAAAAATTATTTAAAAACTAAAAACAAAAATGGTCAAAAGTTGATAGGCTTAAATATATATAATCCTTACATATATAAACGAAGATACAAATGGAGATATTCTTTGGTTTCGTAGAGTGCATAGACTATATTACATTACATATCTCTTGATCTTCACATCTATACGAATGTGAAAATGATTTTTCGTCCCCACGTACACTTGAACCCGATTCTTCAATTCTATACAACTTGAACTTGTTGTAAAGGAGTGGCATTGGGATTCTGCATGATTTGCATTTTTCGCTTGGTAGCCCCTGATGATGACATGAACGATACAATGATGGGCTTTAGCTTCTCAGTAGTTTTGATGTTAACCAAAAAGATAACTCTATACAGAATAATCATCCCTAGTAGGATTCCAAGATCGACCCACTTCGAGTAACTCATATTTACTTGCCATGTATCTCTCAGAATCTTTTCACCAGTGATGTAGGAGCCACCATCTTTTGTAGTAAATCTTAGTCCTTCAAACTCGTTTTTGAACATTCCTTGGTAGGCATATCTATGGAAGGCAACATAAAACATTGGATATCTCCAAAATGGACCAGGAAGATCCTTTGGCAACCTGAAGAAGCCACCACCTAGCATCATGATTCCTTGAATTCCAGCACCGGTTATGATCCCCATTAGAAAGTTGGGGACAATGCTGGCAACTATCATCATTAGGCTCTCTACTAACATTAGACAAGAAAAGAGAACACAAATGAAGTATACGAAGTGCTCAAAGCCTTTCTGAAGACCAGGGAGGTAATAGGCTATAGCTCCAGGAACGATTGAAACCAACATCAAGTATGGGATAGCTGACAAGGTGTTCCCAATTACAAATGCAGTGACACTATAATGTCCATTTAGTCTTTCACGTTCAAACACCTAGACCAATGCCATGGAGGAACCAAAAATGAATAAAAACATTAATTAAATAAGAGGAGGGTTCAAACGACACCGGTGTAACTTTTATTAAGTGTTACACCGCTTAATAACTTTATATTAAATGTGAATTTTGAAAATCCAACCGTTAGATTGAAAGTTCATATTTCTTAGATCATATATGTCAAATTTTATATTAATCTAAGATGATTTGATACTTCATTCTCATAAAACAAAATTGACGTAATATATACATTTTAAAATATACTAAAATATGAGCACTTTGATTACCTTCAAGTTGTTGTTCAATTTTAACAAAATTTGACATATATGATCTAAGAGATATGAACTTTCAATCTAACGGTTGGATTTTCAAAATTCACATTTAATATAAAGTTATTAAGCGGTGTAACACTTAGTAAAAGTTACACCGGTGTCGTTTGAACCCTCCTAAATTTGACATATATGATCTAAGAGATATGAACTTTCAATTTAACGGTTGGATTTTTAAAATTCACATTTAATATAAAGTTATTAAGCGGTGTAACACTTAGTAAAAGTTACACCTGTGTCGTTTGAACTCTCCTCATTAAATAATCCTATGACTATACTTGGATATATAAATTTGAGTTTGAAATTACCTTCATGTCCTCTACAAAGGAGGGGAATCCACCTATGGTCATGAAAGTCATGAATGAAGATACAAACATAAGAAATGAGCCTCTATCCTGAAATAATTAAAATTATGTGACTTTATGAGTTGGAAGATATTAATTAGCTAAACTATATAAAAGCCAAATAATGCAATGAGTCATGTATATATTATGTGTTACTTTCCACTATTACCTGAATTGACTGATAATTTTTATCCAAATCATAGAAAGTGGTAGCTAAACTTATAGCCAATGCAACATATATGGCAAGGCGTAACCAGTAATAGCCTAGATCACGATACATGTTAATGGATGATCTTTTGGTAAGAAGAAAACACTGATTAAGGAAGCCAGCATGTTTTCTCTTCGTATTTGTTGCAGTGGTGTCCTGCAAACCCATGAAAGCTTAATCTTAATGCTAATATTTTGTAATTAATTTGGATCAAATTTACATGGTATGAGATCGAGTTAGCCATAATTAAAGGATACCTTTTCAGATAGTACTTCCACTTCTTTCTGAATTTCTTGGTTCATTTCGGATGACTTGTATGAATTTACAAGGATCCGAATTACTTCTTCAGTGGGTATTGTTTCAGCCCCTCCTGAATTCAACTCATTAACCTGATAAAATAAAAAAGCTATTTCAAACATATGTTTCTGAGTTTTATTGAATACAATTATGTTCCAGTAGAAAATTTGAAATACGAAAAAGGCAGCAATTTCATGGAACATGGTCAACTTAATTACCTGATCAAAATCCTTGTTTATGGTTTTCAGTAAATGATCAGAAGGATTCATGAGAGTAGGACAAGGAAAACCATTTGAAGCGAAAAACTGCATTGAAACAAAAGCATAATTAGTAAATGAACATTAAAATTAGAAATATAAAAAAAAGGGCTAGTTACACTAACCTCAGTTGCAGCAGAAGCAGGTCCAAAGTAAACAGTTCTACCTGAAGACAAAAGACAAAGGTTGTGGAAAAGTTGAAAAACTTCAGTACTAGGTTGGTGGATTGAGGCAATAACAGTCCTGTGCATGTCATCTTTTTTGTCAAGGCTAGCAATGCCACTCATAACATAATAGGAAGCTGCACTATCAAGTCCACTAGTTGGTTCATCAAGGAACAGAAGTCCTGGTCGTGTTAGAATCTCAATGCATATGCTCACTCTCCTCTTCTGGCCCCCACTAATTCCTTTAACACCCCACCCTCCAATTCTTGTGTTAATGGCATCTTGAAGACCCATTTCTCTTATTGTGAAGTCTGCTCTCTCTTTCTTCTCTTTCTTGGACATGGTGTCTGGCAATTGGAGTTGAGCTGAATAGTGCACTGTTTCTCCAACAGTTAAGGTTGCCAGTAACGTTTCATCTTGTGTTACATATGCCTGTGGTCATAATATTTTAATTCTTTAGCAATATTTTTTTTTATATTTGATAAAATATTATTATATATTAAATAAATAGATTATTTTATAATATTTTTTAAAAAATAGAGTAATAAATTTTATTTAAATATTATTCATTCTAATTATTTTTAAAATTAAAGTCTCATATCAAGTAAAAAAATGTCATATAAATTATTTTGCAACATTTTTTTAAATGTTATTATAGATGAGTGACATCTTTTTTATTTCAATATTATTCTTTTTAATTATTTCTAAAATCAAATTTCTATATCGAATAAAAAAAATATATTTCTCTCATATCTAATTGTTACTCATAATTAAAGTCCGACATTAAATAAATAAATGACTCATAAAGAATATATATAATCATATAATTATACTTAAGATAAAAGAACTTTGATATTTATATATAATTAGTGATAATTAATTAAGAATGTCTTCAACCATCTCTTAAAGAACTCCTAGGAGTTTAGGAATTAAGAATGTCTTCAAACTTCTCTTAAAGAACTCTTAAGAGTTTAGGAGACATAAAAATATAATAATTGATAATAATATCTAAATTAAAACTAATTATTATTTTATAAAGTTAATAAAAACTTAAAAACATCGTTAAAATGTTACAAAAATATCACTTTGATAATATTTGAAAATTTTTGCCTAATTGTATAAAAATGTTATTAAAAATCTTTAATAACATAGACTATATATAACATTTGATAATATGTTACAAAAATAAATTAATAATATTTATACATAATTAGATAATATTTTTTAAATATTACTAAAAAACATTTATGTTATAATGTATGGATGAAAAGACTATATACAACTATTAATAATATGTTGTAAAAATAAATTAACAACATTTATAAATAATTAAATAATATTTTTTAGATATTATTAAAAGCTTTTTGTATTATAATGTATGGATGGAAAGAACAGTCAAGAGTTAATACATTCATCAGCTGTGGCATAAGGCCCTAACATCAGCCAGCCGAAATTAGGATGGAGTAGGTTAGTCCAAAAATTTGGTAGGTATCATTTAAAGGCTGGGAAAGTAAAACAATCAGAAATGTCTAACTTATCCTATCAATTCTTCATAGGCTAGCAGGTCGGTTTGAGGACTATGGTCCACTTTTCTATTCATATTATAGTATTATTATTCATACTCTTTTTTATTTTCTTTCATTTTTATTTATCTCTAGTTTTTAATCTTTTCCTATATTATTTGTCACATCTATTTCGATTCTCTCTTTATTTTATTTCCGTATAAATCACTATCTTCTTTCCTTCCATCTATATACATCCCAAAAATAGCTAATGAATCATGTGGCTCCTTAAATATGTTAATTGATAAAATTATTAATTAGGTGGTCACAATTATCATTGTCTCAATTAATTTCTATATGATACACATAACATAAGTGTCAAGATCGACCGAGGAATAAAACTAAAAAAAATCCAAGTTCTAGACCTTTCAATAAATAATTATTTGCTATATAAAAGAAAATAGGTCGCATATGTTGACAAAATGACTGGTCATATAACTCTCTCAATTCAAACAAAAGAAATATATCTCGATATTCATTTTATATCTCACTCACCATTGAACCACCTTATAAAGTGTTTGTAATTATTTCTAATAAATCAAAAAAACTTGAACGCTTATTACATCACATAGAGTTAAGTGAACCATAAATATGATGTGTTATAAGACTTTGTAATAGTTTCTCATGAATTAGTACGTACTGAGGTTCCGTAAGCCAGTGCTTGTTTCTTCCCATTGATCAGGATCTCCCCTGTTTGCCTTGTGTTGGAACTTAATCTCCCTGGAATGTTAATTCACATCATCATTTCATTTTTTTCAAAGTCCATAGACTTGAAACCTCGTTAAATCAAACTAAAATTATTGAAAAGTGGTGATATGAGTGCTTTTTCCCCTCGCAGGTTTTGTCTTGTTTTGTGGCAAGACGTCATCATAGTATAACGCATATATGGAAAAAGAGGTGAAAGAGAAATATAATATAAGATATTTGATCGTTCAAAAAAGAAAGATAACATGTTTGATATGGAGAGATAAAATAATGTTGCAAAAATATCATTCAAATGTCGAAATATATGTATATATATATATATATATGAGTAATATGGTCACGCTAAATATGTCGAAATTATGTTTAAGAAATGGAGGCGGCTTTGACTTTTGGTTTTCTAATTTTACACTCTATTTCCCCTTATAGCTTCATTTATTCAAATCATTCAAAAGTGGTCATTAAGTTATTGTTAAGGAATGAGAGTGTAATTTACTTAATGTCATTTCATTTAGAGAATTTAGTTGATTGAGTGAATTAATTTATGTTTAAACACATTTGCGTGAAATGAAAACTATAATTTTAATATGATGAAAATATTTGCAGCTCGGGACTAGTAAAACAAAGTTACAAGTACAATACCTTTTCCAATTTTGTTTATATTGCAATATATATTTTCGTTTCTGTGGATGAAACCAAGAAAGAGTAGTTCTATAATAACAAATTTTTTTGAAATTATTATTTTTTACACTCTTTATTATTAATTAACTTTTTTTAATAAATCCAATAAAGTTTGGAATGAGACTTAGAGAGAGATCCATATTAATAGGTCTAACATGAATTCATTTAATAATTAAAAAACAATATTACTTGCACTTTCAACCAGAAAAATTTCTTGAGTGTCCCCATCCTTGTATTACACGCATGATATGTCCTTAATTATTAAATTAAAATTTCTTTTTTTAATGTGAACTTATATATAAATATTTTTTAAATATGCACATGATCTTAAATTCGGACTTTGTCGCTTTCATTATTGTTTTTATATATGAAAAAATAAAAATTCAGACTTCGTCGTTTTCATTATTGTTTTTATATATATGAAAAAATAAAAATTCAGACTTTGTCGTTTTCATTATTGTTTTTATATATATGAAAAAATAAAAATTCAGACTTTGTCGTTTTCATTATTGTTTTTATATATATGAAAAAATAAAAATTCAGACTTTGTCGTTTTCATTATTGTTTTTATATATATGAAAAAATAAAATATAGCAAATCTGATGCAATTTCAATATGATAAAAGTATTTAATAATTTTTCTATTTTATTTTTCCACCTTTCTCTTATGTGAATTAAAATAGTTTTAGATGTTATTTGATAAAAGTTATTTTAGCTGTTTTTCTTTAAGAGAATTATATTTAAAGATTTTTCTTAATCTCAATTTTATCTTTAAATTCATCAATAGTTAAAAAAAATTATTTTATAATATATATTAATTGCCACAAATCTAAAATATAATTCATATATTAATTTATATTTAACATAAATTTTAATTCTATAAAATAAATAATTCAAAATACTATTATATATTATCATTTTCATCTAAATTTATAGGTTAATTCAAAAAAAATAACCTTATAGCATAATTTATCTATTAAAAAAAATAGTTATGAAACTTTGAAAAAGTTGAGAGAAATTGATTTAGAATATTCATATGCATACCTGCTAAAGCATCAAGAAGTGTAGATTTGCCACAGCCAGAAGGACCCATGATGGCCAAGAGTTGGCCTGGTTTGGCATAACCAGTGAGACCCTCAAGAATTGATTTGCTTCCATTCTTTCCCACAGAAGCAGTCACCCACACATCCTTCCATGTCAAACATATTCCCATCTCTTCTCTCTCATTACTCCAACCTGAGTTCCCCTCTCCTCTTCTTTCCCTCCCTATTGGAATATCACTGCATGCTTCTATCTCCAGTGTAGAAGGAGAAGCTGAATTATTTGAAACAAGGGTAGCCATTTCACAATAAGAAAATAAAAAGGTTCACACTATATACCCTTCCCACTCGATCTCTCTCTCACTTCAAACCATATATATAGAGACTATCTTGACTAGCATGCGTTTCCAAGTTCTCTTACGTCTTGTTTGCTTCAACAAAAAAATTAAATATGCCTAACGTGTTTTTAAGGCTTCACGATAAAGACAAGACAGAAAATATATTTCTTGATTGTGTGTATATACAATACAACTATCACCACATATATATCATATATATTATATTAAGCGAGTACATTCCATGACTCAATCAATTAACTTGTGTGGGTTATTAAGACAACATTATGTGCAGGGACGGATGTATTTACAACATAGTGGACCCTTGTCTACTACCATTTTACAATTTTACATTTTATATATATATATATATAAATCTATACCAAGATTATTTCGGTGGAATACATGGCATATTAGATGCTCACAATTATTACATTTATGTTTAAGCAAATAAACAATGGTTAAATTACAGCATTGAATATTGTATAAGGAAGGATTAATATTATTTTTCTGCTATATATGCTAGTAGGAACAGAGTTGGAGCTGTAGAGCTTCCTTACCTTATCAATGAAGATTGAGATTAGAGTTATTTTTTTTGTCAGGTCAAATTTCAATCATCTAAACTGTAGTGGATTCGTTACTGCAATTCTAGAGACAATTGATTAGATCATTTGTGCTGCATTTATCAGGTGGACTTCTACTTGAACTTTATATTTGCTTAATTATGTTTTATAGAACAGTTAATAATTAGCATATATGCAGACTAAAAACTGCATATAGAATTCCATATTTTGTAAAGACTTTTATCTACCGAAGGTATACATTGCATTGCCTGAAACTTACCAATAATATGGTTAAACTTTCAGATGCATGAATTATTTCCTTTTGTTCCAGGCATCTGTACCGGCTGATGACTTAAAAAGTGTTGAAAGAAGGTTACCTTTGACTGGAGAGAGCTTAGACTCTAGGGGCCTTTATATATATGATGATGGCTTCCGGTGCATTATATGGTTTGGTAGGGTGATTTCACCTGATATAGCCAAAAATTTACTTGGGGCAGATTTTGCAGCAGAATTATCAAAGGTATTCTATATTTCTGCTATACAAAAATAGGTTCATGATAGGTATTTTTCAAGGCAGAAGAGAGTTATTATAAGTTGTTACCTTGGGCAGCTTCATCTTTTTTCCCCAACTTTTATCTCTGCTGCAAATTGATGTTGGTTGCTTTTTGATTCTTTAATTAAATAAAATCATTATATGCTCTTTCTCTTCCCGTGTCTATACAATTGCCAAATTATGAATTATTGTCATGTTTATCTTGCATGCATGTAGCGGAATGGCCTGATGTGATTTATGTTAATGATTTCATTTAACAGGACAAGGCTTTTGTTCTTCTTCATCTTGTGTGCCAATCTTTGATATTTTTGTATTAAAATCTTTGATGTTTATCTTGCATGCATGTAGCGGAATGGCCTGACTTACTTGTCTTATTAATTTTAATTAATTTGATTGATTTTTGGAAGTTAACTTTCTAACTTTTTCATGATTTTCTAAATCCAATCTGTAAACTAATTTAAACCATTATTTCATGTTTAAGTTTTGCACCACTTTCCATGTGGCTCTTCATTGTTTTTAGACTAAACTCATGCTTAACATATTATTGTAGTTTATCATATATTATATACTTGTGTAAATTTAAAGTGTGATAATAAAAAAAAAGTCTTGTTATTTGAGTTTTGATCCTTGGTCTTATTATAATTGTTATTTGTTTTTATTCTTTTGTAGGCTTTGCTTCTATGAGGAGGTGAAAATCTTTGGACTTGAAGTTGTGATCTTGATATCTTCGACAAACTATCTTTTATTTTTTTTTTAATTTTTTTTTACTAGCATGTTTGACACTTTTAATGATGGGTAAAAAAACTTTTTATGTCGACTATAAACTCGTCATAGATCTCGAAAATATAGAAAGTCTTGACTTTTTATGTTGGTTATAAAAATAATTGACATAAAAAGTTATTTTTGGGTTAATAATTGCTTCTTTATTGTCTTTTTTTCTCTCTTTTCGCATTTTGTTGTCATGCTCTATTTTTATTGTTTCATCTCTTTACGTTTCGCCATCACACTTTTTCCCTTTTGTTGTCGCATATCATCACATTCTATCATCAGACTTTTTTCCTCTTGTTCTCACATCTTTGCATTTTGCCATCATTGTGTTTTGCATTTCATTGCCACCACCACTAGTGGAAAATTAGGATACTACGTCACTCATTTTACGTCGGACATACAAACACCCGACGTAATAAAAACGCGGTGGCATGGTTCGTAAATTTAATTAAATTATTTACGTCGAACCTCCTAGGGTCCAACGTAAATTTTAACATCTACGTCGGCTATGCATTGTGTCCGACATAGATGTTAAAATTTACGTCGGACCCTACTAGGGCCGACGTAAATAATTCACGCCCATTAATTAAAAGGAAGTTCACGAAATGGAGATTTCAAAAATTTAAACACAAACTCATCTCCCGCGCGTTGTGCAATGGAACCCAGCGAGAAATCCCTCCGCCTCCTCCTCAAATCGTGGCTCTTCCTCACTTATGTCTACTTGTTCATCTACATCTTGCTCTCTTCCGGCGTCATTTTGTACAACAAGGTACCCATTTCCCCTTTTCTTCGTTTTCTTCACTTGACAATGTTTTCTCACTGAAAAAAATGGATTTTTTCATGTCTTGGGGCAGTGGGTTCTTTCGCCCAAATACTTCAACTTTCCCCTCCCCATTACGCTCACCATGATCCACATGGGGTTTTCTGGGGCGGTTGCATTTGTCCTCGTGAGGGTCTTTAAGGTAATCCATCTTCTTCTACTTACTACTTTCTTTGTGCATTCTGAGTTTTTGAAGCTGGAGAGGGAAGTGGCCTAGTCCAGGTTGCAGCACGGGCCGTTCTGGTTGAAGAACGGGCCATTCTCCATGCAGAACGTGCCGTTCTCCATGCAAAACGGGCCAATCTGCTTGGAGAACGGGCCGTTCTCCAACCAGAACGGCCCGTTCTGCTTGCGGTCATTGTTCTTTTTTTAAAATTTTTTTACAACTTTTTACGTCAGACCTTGTAATGTCCGACGTAAATTTACGTCAGGGTGCGAAAACAGACGTAAATTTACATCTCCCGCTTCGACGTCGGAATATATAAAATTTTTAATATTATAAATATAAAAATAAATATTGTTTTTATTATTTAAAAAATTTAGATCCGTTGTCGGTGCTTGATGGAATTAAAGCTTTGTCTTTATTTTGTATGATAAATAATAAATTGATGCATTAATTTTTCTTTAATTAAAATTAAAGGTTTTTTATAGTCTTCATAATAAAAGTATACATTAAAGGATTGCACAAAAGAGATACTGTAAGTATATAAATTTTAGAAAACTGTATATAATAAGTTTTGTTCATTAAATAAAAAGAAAAAGGGGTCATTTATGAATTGGCAAGTATATAAAGAGCGTGTTTGGAAACACGTTTCAAACGTGAAAAATCACGTTGAACACGTTCAACGTGATTTTTCACGTTTGAAACGTGTTTCCAAACACGCTAAAAGATGTGTGGCTTTAGTTCGGCCTCGAAGACAGGAAAAAGTTTACCAAACGCTCTCTTGTTTGTTTCCCCGAAAAACAGTCACAACAACAACAACGAGGAAAACGATTTTTTCTTGGCATTTATTTCTATATGATAGATATTTGGAGGGGATATTCCTTATTTTGAGATTTTGTTTTCTAATAAAACTTATGGATTCTTACCAATCAGTGTCCTATAGACACTAGTTGAGAAATTTATGGGTAAAAAAATTCATTTGAAATTAAAATAAAATCACATAAGACCATCTGCTATACATTTTTCAATAAAATTTTTCTATTTTTATTCATTAACTGATAAGGACATTTTTCATATTTATGCTATTTCTATTTTTACATGTCAATCAATGAGTCTAGTTCAATTAGTTAACTAGTGTAAATTTTTTATATAAAGAAATATTCTTGTTAATATGTGGGAATCAATTTTAATATCAACTGATATTATCTCTCTAAAATAAAATAAAAATTATCATTTTAATTTTTAAACGATAATTTTAAGATATATAAATAATATTTATTTTGAGAATCTTTAAAATCTTTTAGAGGTGTTACATGCATGATATCATTAACAGTTGTAGATAATATCTAAAATAATCACTTAAAAAGATAAATAAACAAGTAGTTAAAATGATTATATAATAATTAAGTCTAAAAATAGTAATTCTAAATTTTAGAGAAAATAAAAAAAGTTACAAGGACCAAATATTTTTTTCTCATTTTGCAAGAACTAAAAAATTATTTAAGTCATAACATAATTTAAGGTATGAGTTTTTAATGACTATTGTACTATTCAACTCGAGTGAATCGAACTAAACTCCTCACCGTAACCCATTGAGCTAAGCTCACTACACTGAACGTCAGATATCATCCACGCAATATTCAAGGAACAATCTACGCATCATATCTCCATAAATATCATAACACAATAATGAGAGCACATCTATAAATATTGTGTAAGATTATCTCCTAAAATCACCTAACACTTTTTAACAATCTATATACAGGATGTAACACCCTAGTTTTTATTTCACTTTTTATTTATTTATTTTAATTGAGGGTATTTTGGTAATTTTATAAAGGTGATAGGAGTGATTCAGTAGCTTGGAACGGGCTGTTCCGGAATTGGAATGGGCCGTTCCGGACTATTAAATATGCCATTAACCCTAAATGGGAACGGGCTTGGAACGGGGCGTTCTCAAAATTATGGTCGTTGGGTGTAATTAATGCATACCAGAACGGGCCGTTCTGGTTTTGGAACGGGTCGTTCTGGATGTGATTTTTAGCCATTGTTTAAGGGTCCAGAACGAACCGTTCCGGATTTGGAACGGGCCGTTCCGGTGCAGAATACCTATATATAGAGCTGTTTGTCACTCCCAAAAAGCACACCTCTCATTTCTGATTTCTTTTCTTCTGCTCTCT